GGGAGCCCGGCGCCCGCATTCGGGGCCCGCGCTCGCGCCGGCCGCACTATGGGGGAGGGGAGGGGCGGGCCGCGCGAGACCCGGGAAACATGGCTGCTCATCCTATTTCAGCGTCGCGGCGTGGCCACCAGCCCCGGGATCAGAGTTGGGAGAGGCTCCGAAGGTGGGTGTGTGGGGGCCCCGGGGGGCAGCGCGGCGGGCTGGGGCGCAGGGGGCGCTCCCCGGGAGCTATTTGTCTTAAGAACGTTAAAAAAAATAGTTCCTCCTCCCCCACCTCTTTTGTCCCTCATTAGCTAGCTTTCTCCCCCTCCTCCCCAAAGGTGCAGAAAGTGCCCCCTCCACTCCCGGAGCCCCACCCGGCCTCGAGGCCCGGGGCAGGCGCGTGGGCAGAGAGCCTGGGCGGCGAGGGGGCGAAGCGTGAGAAATCACTCCCAGCTCGGCGCGCTCCCCTCCCCCAGCACACACTCGGGGAAGTTTAAAGAGCCGGTTCGACCCGCTTTCGAGCTCGCTGCCAGTTGGCCAGCAGTGTGGACGGGCTTGGCCGGGTGACCCGAGTCCCCACTTGAAGCCGCCCGTGGAGACCCAGGCCCCCTGCCTGGCGCCCTTCCCCCTCCGCACAGGGGGCTTCCGGAAAGTACGCGGGAAGACCGAGGCTCGGGCCCCCTCCCCCATCACCACACCCAGCCCCCAAATACTCCGGCTCCGGGTTCCAGCCGGGATGAAACCGACCAGAGAAAGGCAAGCCACCCGCAAATTGTTAGAGGCAACTCTTGCCTTCTCCGCCGGGCACCCCTCCCCGCCCTGCGCGCCATCAGGCTCTGCACGTCTACAGTCCACAGCTGCGTTATGATGGGGGGAGGCACAAAAAGGATCTTGTTTTCAAAAGTCTCACTCAGGTTTGGGGGAGGAACTAGAGAAAAGAGGAAGGAAGGCCTGTCTTCGCCAGGGATTCGGGTTTAAACAGCTGGGGGGGGGGGCACAGGTCAGCACACAGTGCTCTGCCAACTCTGGAACCCCGGCCACCGAGGCGGGAGCGACGGCCCTCGCTCTCCCGCGCTTTCCTGGTCCCCCAAAGGGCCAGTAGAAAAGTCGGCCAGCGTCTCCGTCTCAGACCCTGGGTGTCTCCTCCGCAGAGCCGCCAACTCGCTTAAAACACTGTTTGAAAGAGAGAGGGAGCCAGGGAAAAAAAAAACAAAACAAAAAAAACGAGCGTTCGAGTAACCCACCCTGGCCTTCCACTTCCTCAGCGGTGAGCTTTCGCCGAGGCTCCCAGTTCCCTGCCGTGTAAGTTTCCTTCGGCCCTACTCCCGCCGCTGCCCAATCAATAACAGCGACGGGAAGGCAAACTCCCATCCCGGAGCTGCGTGTGCGCTATGCCCGCATCAATCTGGACCCAGCCAATACCCACCACGGGCACCAGTTCCGGGCAGCTTGCGTCCTGACAAAGTTTCCCATGACCATTTATTAGCCAGGCACCGAATGGCTTGCGGAGGAGCCCACCCCGGAGAGAGACCAGCCAGGAGTCGCCAGGGGTTCGAAGGCTGGCATCCGAGAGGAGCAGGGGCGAGGGGGGACCGGGACGTAGCCTTTGGGTAACTTGCAATAGCGATCGCGCGAGGTGGGGAGGCGCGGGGATCATCTGTGCCTTTGCACGTTCGAAAATCCCTCCCCCTCTCCTTCCCATTATCCTCCCCTCCGAAGGAAAGGAAGAAATATCAGCATCTGGCCCGAAGGTGGGGTGGAAAGAGTGAGGGAGAAAGAGGAGGAGAGGAAGAGAGGCAGAGAAAGGGAGGGAGGGAGAGAAAGGGCGCGTTCACGAACACTACAAAGTTACAAATATGGCTCCCCCGTCTCTCGCCTCATCACTGCAAAGAAATGAAGACGCACTTTAAACTCGAGCCATTCCCAACTCCACTGCAGCCCCCTCCCCACGCGCTCTCCCCGGGGGCTTCGGCCCACATTTATCAGAAACTAAACCGGACTCGCAAAGCCCAAAACTTATTGTGTGTGCGCGAGCGAGAGTGAAAGGGAGGGGTAAGGCGCGGGAGGGGGGGTGGAAGGGGGTATTCATTTATAAAATATAAACCCCCTTTTTGTTGTTAAATCCAGGAGGCAGCCCCTCTCCTCCTCCTCCCTCGTTAATCTTTTCCCCCAGACAGAGTCATGGGAGCAGCGAGCTCAGAGGGTCATTTTGCCTCATTCTCTCCGACCCAGACGCGTGCGCCCGCTGGCCCCCGATGGGGGCACACTCGCACGCACACTCTCGCACCCACACTCGCACACGCGGGAGCACACGCACAGGTAGTCACACACCAAGGGCAGCAGCGGCGGTGGCGGCAGCCGGAACATGCTCGGATGGCATTGCAACCCCCCAACCTTGCAATTCATTTGCAGTCCGACCCCCAAACCCACACCTCCGGGCTCCCCCTCCCTCAAAAAAAAGTGCCTCAACCCCCAACGCACACACACACACACACACACAAAGTAGGAGAATGGACCGACAGAGATATTTTTGGCAAATGCTCACATCAGAGGGCGTCCTGTTCCGCAGCTCTAAATGAATCCGTTTGTCCATCTCCATCTCTCGCGCTCTCTCTCTGCAGAGGCTCCCGCGCCGGCGGAATTCAATCAATAAACCCCGAACCCACGGCCGCGCGTTTTAGGACTTTGAAGGCTCAACCAGCTCCGCTCGGTTCTCGAGCCCCCAGCACCCGCGGCGCACACAAACCTGATCACGGTGGAGGCGGGATCTGCAGCCCCGCGGAAGAGCGGCAGCAGCTTCAGCCAATCGCCGCCGAGGATCTCCGGGCAACAGCCAGTGGCGGCAGCGGCGGGGGGGGAAGGGACCAATGGGCGGGCTGCGCAGCCGGCCAGGGAGGCTCAGCCATTTGGTTGTGGTGCCGGAGACGGACCCCTTTAGATTTCTGGGCGGCTGAGGAGCGCGGCCGCTGCTCCGTGGCTGAACGAGGGGGGTGGGAGGAATGGCGGGGGAAGGGAAGGTGACTGCCTCGAGAGCCGAGCCGCCCGGCCT